TCCGGGCTTACGGCACCTTTTGGCCCGAGTTCACCACCGAAAGTGGTGTTCGTCACGGTTGCCCTCTCTCCTTTTCTATTTAACTTTGTCATAGATTTAATTCTTGAAACAGCCCTATCCTCGTGCAAGGATTTTGGCATCGATTTACTCCCAGGTGGCGGACTGTCTGATCTAGAGTATGCAGACGACATTGTGCTACTAAGTGAATATCAATTTCTTTGCAACTTAAGACCACTAAACTTTTCCATTTTCTGTTCAACTCCACTTTCAACTTTCCTCCTATTTTTCATCCAAATGGGCAGCCAAAAGACAGCAACCAAAACGGGCGCACGAATATGCGTGGTTAATGGTTGTACAAACTTAAACTTAAACTCCCCTCTCTACCGTCACAACCGAAACAGTGGATTTACAATTTGAACAACAATGGGTAGCTTTGTATGGTTGCCCTTCTACGGCCACAACTGACAAAGAATAACAATTTGAGTCCGATTTCTTCGCAATAACTCGTTTTCTGGGTACGAAACGCATTCGAATCATCCAGCATCCAACGGTTTAGTCGAGCGTTTTTACCACCAACTCAAAGCTACCGTAATCGCACACGAGAATCCTAATCCGTATGAAACGCTACCTATAGTTCTGCTGGGAATCAGAAATTGCGTGAAGGCAGACTCCCAAGGTTCTGCCGCAGAACTTGTCTTGGCATGACAGTATGACTACTGGGGAAGTTATTTACGCCACGGAGTAGTGTCAACATCGGCAAACAGACTTAGGTTTAGCGTTGGTCTACATTCATACAGACAGTCTCCTTCGCAAACCGGAATACAAAAGCGACAGGTGGTTTTGCCCTTTGAAATATAATTCTGTTCGCAATTTTTCATACGATTCTGTACGTAAACCTCTATAACAGCCTTACAAAGGGCCCTTTCGTGTCATTTTACGTCGCGACAAGACCTTCAAGATTTATCGACCACCGCATCGGTACAATCAGCACAGGTCGCATTAAAGCAGCACACGTAGATGAAAATGTTATGCACGCTGACACGAATTTCTGCTAATCCCACTCAGCCTCTGAACGAGACACCCGTCTCCCATTTAGGCTCAATATTTCCCCACTGTTGTAGCTGTAGACGAATTATCTGCCTCACGTCTTTACTGAGGCAGTCTCAGTTTCCCACAACTCCGAATAGGGTTTCATCCTCACATTCAAGTCGGCAATCACCAGCCCTTGCCACGGTTTCCGTTGAACCAGTCGCCTCACGTTTAGACCGGAAGTCTCGCGCACCGGTTATGATTTAGGACGTGACCCCCGTCTTATTTCCCAGCAAGCCCGATTCAGTATGAACTCGACCATTCAACGATACTTCCGTCTCACATTCTGGTCGAAGGACCGTTTTGGCTGCACGTTTTCGAACTTAGTTGATACTCGATCTGGATCAAATCAAAGGTGTTTGTACTTATGCTCAAAGCCATTGTATGATTGGAGCTGGTGTGTTGCATAAATACCTGAATTCTCTCCCACTTTTAGGAGTTATAAAAGAAACGAAGGCCATAAAACGTCAATCTTCTCTCCATAAAGAAAAAATATGAGGGCACTTGATAGAAACGTTCAAGATAATGAATGAAATGTAAGGAGGTGTCGTTTGAAATGATACAAAATATCACGATAGACAACATCTAAAGAAAGCGCGGGCAAGATTTGAGATGCTACTCCCGTTCTTCCGCATCTGGGTGGTTATTCTGTGAAATAAGCTAGCTGCCAAGCTATTCGAACGCAAGAACATACAGCGCCGTGCCCACGAACAAATCATGAAACTTCTTTTCATAAAGATTTGTACCATGATCTGTTTGACACAGTCTCGATTTAGACGTATGAAATATAATAATAACAAGTGTTTAAGGAACAACTATGCTATATTTTCCCGAAACTTATCGTTGATACGTGTTGCGTGGTTAAGGATAGGAAAACCGTTGCGCTCTAGCGACGTTACCCTAACTCCCTGATATTACCTGCATTCACAGCCTACTAGTTAGCACTTGCACTAAGCTTTCAGCCATGTGAGATGTAGTGTAATATCTTCACCTCATCTGTTTTGTTGTAGCCACATGGAAAACACAGAAGAGTTCTCTGATGCTCCTTCCCGTGCTGATCTCGATCTGGTTGTTGAATGTGGCAACGGGGATTTGGCTAGGGTTCAACACCTGGTCGATGTTGAAGGTGCAGACCCATGCTATCAAGTACGTTTCGAGCACATTTTAGTCCCTTCCTGAAAACCACCATTTCCGCGTAAGCACTTGATACGGTGTTCTGCAATCATCGACTCCACCACAAGTGTAAAAGTATCAGTACCGATAATCATGCATATGATGGGTCTATCTCTCAGTTAACTCACACGAGAGCAGACCAAGTGTGTAATGAACAAGGTCGCCGGAAAGAAGAAACATATGCCGACTGCGATCAATATTCTGTTATTTTTGGTATTTATTTGGTTCTTTATTGGAGGTGAACCGCACCCAACACTTGTCGTTTGCCCACACTACTGAACACTGAGCCGTTACCGGTATATTCTATAACCCACTGGCACTGATTTCTTCGATCAGAGAAATGTGAAGTGAAAAGGAATGTTGCAATATGACTTCATATCTGAACGCGGAGGCATAAATATTAGGCAGGTGATCAAGCGGATTAAGTCGTTCCCTGAGTGCTTTGGGTTATAGGGCCCATGGTTTGAATTCTGTTATCTAAATTTGGTGGTAGGCATCTTCGTCATCCGGCTCAGTGCCACGCCTAATCTAGCCGAGCCTTATGTGGTTCACCACTCCGAGTCCCAGGATTTAGGTTGCCGGTTTTCATAAGTGAACGAAAAAATCACATTAATTACATTTATTGTCCATCTCTCAACAGTTAATAACAAAAAATAAAGCCCAACACAAAAAAGCAAGCAAGCAATTACAAACCGATATAAAGGAAACTACGACAGGGATTTATCACTGGGATAAAATCATTCAATGCGTATTGTGACCAGTTGTTAGACGGAAGACCAGTTTCCTCTAAATACACCTCTACAGTAACCACTGAAACAATGAAGACCTTCGTAACGAGGACATTGCACATGGGTGGGTCGATTATCCAAGCTCTGAGACTTGAAAAAAGGAACCACTGAGCATTCTTCATATTGAGATTTGTAATGAAAGCGTTGTTGGTTATCCCACGCACATGTGCACCTTAAATGGTCTGCGGTTTTAGGTTGGTTTGAAACACTGCTCAGGCCATAAGGTTCAGCCCACGGAACTTTTGATGAAGAAACTCCGATCGTGAGCTATCCGAAAGTGGTCTGTTTCTTGCACGTAAGTGAAGATGCAGGAATAACTGCCATTGCACGCCTTAATAGGATTTACAGCAGGGGGGCCTATTGTTCGGTTATGGGAATCGGCTTCGTAAACAGTTGTTGGACTTAGAGTAGTGGATTATACAGTGCCCGTCTAAAGAACGCGTGGTGGTGCACCGGAAAATAGCTTAGCTACGGATCATCAAAGCTAACTGGCAGTGTCAGTGATTGGATCTCAGCACGAGCGGTAGACTGGCATCAGCAATTTCAGATTCTTCACTACTGTAAACCATGTTCTAGGTTGTATGAAAGTAAGTTATTCCGAAACCATGCTACACTTACCCATGGACTTTGAAGTGATCGGATAACTCCGCCGGTTTTTTCCGCGATTTCCCGCACTTGTCGTTGAGTACACCCCGATTATATG